GGAGGGTGTGAAGCTGTCAGCTGATGGACACTCAGGAGCTGTGGCAGGAAAAGTGCCTTTGGGCCAGCAGGAGTGGAATGCTGTGTTGCTAGTTGAATTAAACTGAAATGGAGAGAAGTTGCTGTTTTTCTTACTTGTTTTAAAGGTGTGGGATTGTCCAAATACACCTACACTGTATCATGCGGGGGGGAGAGTTGATCTACTTCACAAGTCAGTAATGCATTGATTTTTAATCCTTCTACCAGGATTTACTAAGCTTTCAGAAACTTGTGAGTTACATGACGTCAAAATTGGACTCCGGAAACCTTTTAGTCTTTGAACCTGATTTCCATTCTGGTTTTGGAGGGAATGAATAACTTTTTATTTTTGCTTTGTTGTAATTTTCTTCTGTTTTGATTATTCTTTCAATATACTTATCAGATGAAAATAAGTGGTAAAAAGTTTATTTGGTTTTAGGGAGTTGTAACGTATTACTGCTCTTAAGAATCTGCCACAAGACTTGCATCTGCTAAGTTGATAAGTAAATCCTGTTTATCCACCTTACTGAGGCAGTAGCGATATCTTGTTCATGTTCTCAGTGTTGTGGATTATACTAGATTCATTGTTCACCTTGCTAAAGGGGATACAGAAGAGAAAGAGTTGCTTTTGTAAGTGTTGGGGTGGCGTGTGTGTTGTACAAAACGTCGTAGAAGTCCATCTTGCAGCTCTTGGACAAACTATTTGAACTACTCCGTTCCTCTGAAGCTGCTTCGTTAGCTATTGCAAGTGAGATTGGTGCCTGGGAAGAAGAGGTGAGAGGCCGACTCTCATTCAGCTTGTCCTTGCCTGTTTCACGATGCTGGGTAGCCTGCCTGATCTTAGCCTGCCACGAGGAAGATAGATTGAAGATGTCTAATATTAGTCCTTGATGTAGTAAATGAGCTTGAAGATAAGCTTGGTAGTTAAATCTAAGTATTCGTTAACCTTTCAGCTTTTTGAGGAGAATGTTGTTGAACAAGACCAGAGCAATTTTAACCGATGTTAAAGATGCTAGAAATCTGTCATTCCTGGAGCATATCTGTTAGCGTCAATGAGGCTTGTAGTTAGGGATGAGGAATGGTGATGTAATTCCTGTTCGTCTTAAAGAATCACCATGATACAGTAAAAGTGAAGCTTGATGTAGAAATCTGTACTTTACTGTAGAAAAATATTAACACTAATACAAAAGGCTATTACGAGCAGGTGATTCTCCTGCCATGCAAAAAACATCTGCACTAGCCTTCGGAAGCAATGTTGTCTTGCATCGTGCAAGAGTTTTAGTTTGGGTGGCTAACACTGAAGTTAGTACTGATCTTAAATGGAGTGATTGGTGTCTGGCGCTGTAAGCGAGGGCTGGCGACTGCCTAGCAACTAATGGTGTCATGTTGGCCCAGCTCAACTCAGATAAGGAACAAAAATATTTTCCTCCAAATCCAAACTGAAAAATATAGAGGTGTGTGTGGGGCACCGGCAGTGCCTCTGGCGCAGGGCAAGCTGACAGGAGCACTTGCTACCACAGTGTTGCAGAGCAAAGTGGGGGAGCTGGTGGCTGCTCCTGTTTCTCCTGGTGTGTTTTTAAGCAGTTACAGTCAAACGTGACAAAAATACAGTGTACTGATATGACCATTAACAAAGAGAGAAAATTAAAAGCCCTGCTGTCCTTATGTCCATCTCTTCTCTCTTTGGAAATGTCTTTGTCTTCAATTTTTTGCCCAAAACATTTAGCAGATGCTTGGTTTCTTTTAGTGTTTTAAGAAAGTGAGTCTTCAGAATGACTCTGACTTATAGATTCACTAGGATTACATTTTATTCAGAATAGAGGGTTAGTGTTTGATTGATATTTAAACGCTTGTTGATCCTGGACGCCCTGTTCCTCCTTTTAAGTGATAGCAGCAGCAGCAGCTTTCAACGACCAACAACCCTGTTACTGCTTCCTAATATCTTTGGTGTTACTGTGTAGAAGGTGGAGATCAAAGGGGATCAAATAATTACTTTCTGGCCCCCTAAGTTCTCATTGTGTTTTTTCAGTAGGCTACAGCATTATTCAAATAATCAGCATACCTAGCTGTGCTGTTAGATACATGCTGTGCTCAGGTACTGTCTTATTCCGACGTATGTAGCTGGAATCCGTAGAAGTTTACAGTCTGTTACATACCATATACTGATCTTGCAAGCTCTGATGCTGATGTGGAATAATACTGGGATGTATCTGTCAGTGTCAGCTGAATAATTTTGCTGTAGTAAAGATCTTCTGACACAGGATGGAAGAAAGCCAAGTTACATTTATGAAATTTCTAACTTAAGCAACAATGCTCCGCATTTAAATTGTAACACAATGGTAAGAGAGTACAGTACTTATGATGATACCAGCATCTAGTTTGTTTTTATAGAGTTTTATAAAATGCTGGAACAGTTTCATGCTGTTTGCCCCACGGTGGAAGCTTTGGCTGCAGACAGTTGTAAGTGTCTCCCTCTGGTCGTGGTTTGTCAGGTGGCAAGAAAATCCAGCGCAGAGCTAGGTTATCTTTTTGAGTCTAGCCACCATCGTGATTTTTCCTGTGCTGTAGGAAAATGAGTTCAGTATTCTTACTCTGACCTTTAGAGAGAGGTTTCCTCCATCTGTACTTGATACTCAGTTTTGTTTCTTTTAGTTTGGCAAGAGGCAGACAAGAGACTCTTCCATTCCTGTGAATAGCTGGGCACCAGTGGTTCTGCCCAGCAAGGTGTTAGTTTTATGTTAGATCAGTGCTATTTTGGCATAGGGAATGAAAGCAGAATGTGACCTTAGAAGTAAATTTAGCTAACATAAAACAGGACTGATGGATGATATATAAACTTTGGAGGATGAATCTTGTAGTTAACAACTGCTGACTAAGTCAGTCCTTCTTAACTTGACCGAAGATGCTGGACTTCACACTGAAAGAGTCGGGGCATGGGCACAGGTTCTGTCTGCTGTCACTGTCACCAGAGAGGTGGCTTTTGGGGGAGAGGTGCGATATGCAGCCATGCAGGATTTTGCACAACTCTAGAAAGGCTCATCAAAGCCCATAGGCCACTCCGGTAGTTTAGGATCCTTTCAGTCTGTGAAGGAGAAAGGGGGGTGGTGCGTGCATGTGCTGCTTCATGCCTTCTCTTAACGTGTACCTTGCTGAACATTGTTTGAATACTTTGCCTCTACAAGTGGGAGAAAACGTAATAATTCCTTCCTCTAGCATAGGGCTAGCTCTCATATGACAAGGCTTTGGTAGGGGATTATTGGATTCAAGAAAATGAAGTTTGAGAGAGTGTGTGTTGTTGGACCCATTCTCTCATAAATAAACTCTTTTCATCCTTGTGTTGTGACCTGATAACATTAGATGTTTAAGAAACTTGTTTTTTTCTATATTTAAGCCTTTCATGGCTGGCAGAACTCGTTTCTTTTGCTGTCCGCTTTATGAACAGCCTTTTAGCCCACAAGACATTTGAGTTAAAATACCCATGTTTGCTTTTGCATGGGAATTACATCACATTTTCCTTCAACCTTCTTAACCTTCTTCCTTCAACCCTGTGCAGCGTCCTGCTGTTTCGTGGGCTGAAGGGTACGCGTGCAGGCTTTAGAAGCAGTTGCAAAAGGGAGGCGAGTACCTGGCAGTATGGCATCAGAGGGAACGTTGCTGTTACACAATAGGTGAGGAAAGGACTAATGAGAAATGGGTGAAAAGAAAGGAATGTGGAATGGCGAGGAACAAAAAGCACTTTTTTTTTTTTCCATATTAGGTTGTCTTGCTGTTTGTAGACTATTGTGACTTATCCTTTTAAGTGGTTGAACTGAACTTTCAGTGCAGCGTTGTACTTGACTCTGACACATGATAAAGCATACAGTGTGTTGGAAGCAGGACCTATCATAAAGTTGTTTTTTAAAAAAAAAACAAAATAGAACACAAGAACAAAAAAAAAGGGCACCCAAGTTTTTAGTCTGTTACCTCCAGTTAATATCGAAGAACAAAATGCTTAGCTGGTCTGTTAAGAGTTGTTCTTAGCCCTTCAGAACTGCATGTGATAAGAAGATGATTATAGATTAACTAAGTATTTCAAATTGTCCTTAACCTTGGGTGATAACAAAAATGTGAGTAAAACCTTTACTACTGAGTAGAAGTGTGCCAGGGCTTGCATCCTTTCTTTCCATTGAGCAGTTCCATCTCTCCAGAACTCGTGACATTCCTGACCTGCACATGTCAGCACAATAGAGAAGTGTGCGTACACTGCATATTTACAGCATTATAAATCTTAATAAGGGTTTATAATGATGATATTGTGGTTGAATATAGGGTCTGATTACTTCCTGAGGGATGTAAGAGTGCAGTCCTCTGAAGCCAAATTGTCAAACACTAGTAGGTAAAAATTGGGTTGAAGAAAATGTTTTAGGACTATTACAAAACAGTTATTATACAAAATTAATTTTATTGCTATGCATTTAACTGAACTAAGTTTTGGCATAGTTTAATTCCATGGAATTTCTAGTTCCAGTGCAGCAGTGCTTTTAAATTTGGGTTCTGTATCAATGTTTCACTAGCAGAGCTATCTATGTAAAGTATATAGAAAATCCTAAGATGCATAAGCGAGAAACATACTGGTGAGTGTAGTTTAGCAAAGACAACTAGCACAACTTACTCTGAATGTTGTGCTTTAAAATTCTGTAGTTACAAATCTGTTTGCATGGCCTGTGCTCTAAATTGTGGTATAGTGAAGCATAAGAGTAGGTCTAATACTGTACATGTGATCACGCTTGCTTTCTACTATATAGCCTTGTATAAAGAAATCTGTGCGACAAATTCCCAGATGAGATCAGAAGAGGGTTAGACAATATTGGATGTCTTGTAATGTCCTTAGGAAGACCTGTGTTAAGAGTTTCTTGTAAAAGTTGATTATTCTAGGGGTAGGGGGTTTTTCCAGCCTTCACAAAATGGTTCCCTAACCTCCAGTCTGTGCTTTTTTCCTTGCAGACCTTTCAGCAGCCCAGAGAAAATTTGCCCATTCTCTGAGAGACTTTCAATTTGAATTCATTGGCGATGCAGAGACAGATGATGAAAGATACATAGGTAGGTAAGAAGTGACTGTAAGTGACTATATTTTGTCATGCCATCCTGCAACATGATTAAACATTTTTTCTGGTTTTGTATTACAGATGCGTCACTTCGTGAGTTTTCAAACTTTTTAAAAAATCTGGAAGAACAAAGAGAAATTTTGGTGAGTTGCAATAAAAATTTTAAAAAGCTGTACATACAGCAAAGAGTAAGATGAAAGTCAGTTAAAGTTGCTTACTGCTTTGTTAACCACCAAGGTGTTGATATCAGTAACTTAACAGTGAAAGCTTTTATTGTGCAACCTCTGATTCTGTAGTCTGGAGTTAGAGACTGCAGCTAGTTCTCATTAGAGAAGAAAGCTGTTACGGTAAGGATAGATAACTATGAGTTGGTTTAAAATGGTAGTGCACTGATAAATTATGGCTGAGGTGAATGGGAAAACTATTGTAAGGTTGTTTACCATTTACAGTAAAAAGCAAGATGTAAGGCTTAATAATGCAGCAGGACACACAAAGTTGGGAACTTGGCCAAATTTGGATCCAAGATCTTTGTGGCTCCAGCTTCAATATTTATGTGGATTTGGAGTGCAGTCTGTTGGCTGGATGCAGTAGCACACTTACAAACCTTTTCATTGTAGGTGAGCTTTCTGGTGGAGGGTTGCATCTGCAAACATCTAGTTGCTCTGTTCTGTAGAAGGGAATGTTCTCCATTCATGTGCCTCTGATTAATTAGGGTTTTAGTGTAATATGGGTCAAACTGGCTGCACGTAGACTGTGGGTTGAGAGCTCTGCAATACATCTTGCTATCTTGATTTCTGAAGCTGTCTAGAAGATGAGGAATTTCTTTCTGAATGGTACCATGATTCTCCCCTGCAATTGCATGCCCAGCTTTCATTTCAGAATGAGGATTCATAGAGCAGATGATGTGTACCCAATTTTCTTCTGAGCGTGGTCAGACCCTGCATCTAGGAAATGCTCTTAGATCTGCCTAGATAGCAATTATGTTCCTCAGTATTTGCAACGTGATTATATCTTCATCTTCCTGGAATTCAGTGACCACTTGGCACCGCTGCAAGGAAACTGAGACAAATGTGCGTTCTGTGCTCTTCTCTGCCAGAAGCTGTGCCTGCAGTGTAGGAGTGTGGAGATAAGTGAGAAAAGAGCTTGTGAACAATATTTTAAAAACATTTCTCTCTCTGGCAGTCCTGAATCTGGTAATAGCCATGGTTCCTTGAGTGTGCCATATTGTGTTGTGGTGTGGTTTTCTGATCTGGAACAACCTTTGGGTCAGAATTAGGATCTGTGTGGTTCCATGCATTTCACTGAAGAATATTGTCCTTACATAGAGACAATTTTTCAGTATCCCAAGTTGTTTTACAAAGTTGTACGGATTGGCTCTAGTGTGTTTGAATGCTGCTTTTGTTTTTTGTAATTCTGAAATATAGTCTTTACTCTGCTTTTTCCTGCCATCCATAGCTGTATTTTATTTTAATGAAGTTGCACACATCTAATTAGTGAAACTCTTTGGGAAGTTTTACAATGAAAAATACTTTATAGCCTGTCACATTATTTTCCACACTATTTTGATAGCAGATTTTTGAGACATGTCAGCTTCAGGACTTCAGAATTGTCTGGCATGTTTCGGTGACTGTATCAATACATCTTCAGCAGTGATAGACTACCAAGACAGTAGGCTGCGCAGAATCCAGTGCTTTCTGTCTGTATAGTAAAACACTTCTGTTTTTCAGACTGAATGCCACAAAACAGGATTACTTATTTTTTTGGTATGATGACCATGCTTACACAGAAGGCATTGTCACACTAAAAGCTAATTAATGTCAGTGTCTTGATTAAGAAAAGGATAAAATTATTATTTGTATTTGTTAGAATTAGTTTGATGAAAATCTGGGGAGTGTGAAATATTGTGGGACAAATATTTAATTCCAAACAGAAGCAGAATATTTTCTCTGAGTTACCAGATGCGTGGCCTTTTAATTGCATCTGTAGCCTAGCAAATACTATGTATCATTTCTAGAGTGAGTTAATGTAACAGTGGCCATAAGTCTCTGAGAAAATAATTGTGTGGTGACAGGTAAAGGTAATTTTCAACAGCTGCTGCTCTGACTACTTTTTTTCTTTTTGACTTCTCAATGGATGTTTTGACAGTGGGCATGAGCTCTAGGGATACTCCCATGGAGAATATTAGGGCATGTTGCACTCACAGATGTTTGGAGTCAGGTTAGGGATTCAAAGGCTTTCCATTAAGGTGCAAAGTATGTAGCAGGAATTTTTTTCAAAAGCACTCAGTCTTTTTTAAGAGTGCTCTTTATTCAGCATTTTTGCCCTGACCATTGTGAAGAAGACCAGAAGGTTTCTGACTGCTCATTTCAGTTTCATGCAGAATTGCAAATAAATTTCTGTCACATCAAGTAAAATTAAAGAAATCAATGAATAATTATAGAACTGAGGGCATTTCAGCTACTGCTGTGCATTTGAATTTTTAGATATTTGAGAAAAGCGTTATTTTTTTTTACAGCCATATTGTAAATTAAAGAAGTTTGCACTTTAAAATACATTCTAAGCTGAAATTAAATACTCATCACCTATACTTGCCATGGTTTTCTGAAAGTATGGTTTGTGGTGAATCCAGAGTCCATAAAACTTTATATTAGTGTTTGCTATAAATATACTTGTTTGGGTATCATTTGTCCGGTGAATATTTATTTGATGGATATTTAATAATTTCATTCCGATGTTAGTCTTGCACTTCATGGCTTTACCATTTCTCCCATCTCCTTCAAAGGCTGCTGAAATTATATGCCAACTGTAAAAGGATTTAGTTGCTTGTGAAAAGGGAAGTTTGCATTAATCCAAGCATTTCACCGAAATTATTATGGAGCGGCCAATACAAAAACAAATAACGCTTTTCCATAGCACCATAGTTTGGTTACGTGCCCCAGGGCAGACAGGGAATAGGTCACTTTGTCCCTGAGAATATTCTGGAAATTATTTTTATGTGTTCAGGATGAATGGAGTCGTGGGACTTACATCCTGCTCCTTCGATAATACAAAAGTGTCATGTAAGTGCAGGGATGAAAGGAAGCTTCACAAGACTAGACGGAAAAGGCTGGGGACAAACAAGCACCAACATGGTGATGTGGAGATGCTCTGTCCTGCTACCTAGCCATTCTCCTGCTTGCCAGGGAGAGCGGCAAACCTCCCTCCCAGTCTCAGTTCTGACAGCAGAAGCAGGTTTGATTCTTGTGATGGACTTGGAACAACAGGCTTCGCTGGTTGCCCTCATTTAAGCTGCAGTGATGAGCAGTGCAGTGCTACCTGGTGGGTACTGATCGCCTCTGGTTGTTACCCCTTTTATCCTTCTCCACCTTCCTTTTTACCACCTTCATAACTCCCTTCCTCCATCCTAGTCTTCTCCCAAATAGCCAGCCTGCCCCTATTTACTTTTTTCTGTTGATTCCAGTCTTGGTAAATCATAACCAAATTTGATAGCACTTGTACTGTTCCCTTAGTAATCTCAGCAGTACTTGGCACTACTGGTGCAGTCACCCTGATGTGCTGGCTGCGCAGGCTTCCCCTCCCTGGAGTCCTCCATCCTGCCCTTCAGCTGCTTCTAGAGTTCACCTGTTTCTCACATAACTCTCCCTTAACCATACTGGAAGTCCAGTCTCGGCCCCCACGACACTGTCTGTAACTTTTGGCAGCATCTCTCACAGTTACGGGCCATGTCCAGCAGTCTCTCAGGTCCTGTCCAGTAATGTCTCATGTTTGGTTAGCTTACTCCCATGCCAGCATTGAGTGATTTGGCTGCATTTGCCTGCAGCTCTGCCAGAGGTGTCACTTGTGGCAGGGTCACGTACACCTAGATGATCTGTGATGAGTGCTGGTCTAACCTGTTCTTAAAAAAACTTCCAGGAACAGGGATTTCTTTAGTTTTACTCCAGTGTTTATTCTTTTTTTTTTTTTTTCCCCACCTGATATCCATCCTAAGTCTGCTTTACTGCAAGTTAAGCTGGGAGCTTTTTGAGAACTATTCTACAGTACTCATGGAGTAAAACTGATTGGTTTTCCTTCTTATTTTCACTGTTACTGTTTCAAAGTGGTGTTTTACATCTGTATTTTTCCTTATTCAATTGAATTACACTGAGTTTAGACCATCTCTCTTTTATGTCAAAATTAGTTTTAATCCTGCTTTCTGAAAGCACTGACACTTTCTCTTTGATTTATGTCACTCCACAAGTATGTTACTGTGGTGGAGTTATTTGTAAGTCACACTATTAATTGCTACTGAAAATTGGATCATGCAGGAAACTTGGCTATCGTTTCGTATATGATGCTTGAAATGCCCTCTTAGCTGAACGGGTATTTTTCATGGTAGTTTTGCAACCAGGATGCTGTTTTCTCATTCTTCCTGGGTTTATTTGTTAAGACCAAGTTGCCACCTTTGCTTTTGAGAATGTTGTATCAATCAGCGTCGAGGACTTTGTTGAGGAAATCGGCTACGGTGCTGATCTCAAAAAGGAAACTAGATACTGTTCTTAAGAAATTTAAAGTAGCTTTTAACCATCTGTAGTGTGTCCCAGGACTTTTGAGTATCAAAGTTGCTGTGTCTGGTCTGTAACTTTCTCAGTTCCTGCTTTCTCCTCCTCTTCTCACTTTCAAGTTGCTGCTGCATTTGCTCTTCTGCCATCCTCTGGGACCTTGATGCCTCTCCCTTTGCTTTGCTTTGCTGAGTTCCTAAACTACCCTGAAGCAAAGCCCCTTCTGACTTGAATGCAATTAATTATTCAGTTGTGTAATGTAGGAACACATCTGATTGTTCTTAAGAAATCCTTACTTTCCTTAACATCCAGTTTTGTTAGATGGTTTGCTATAATTCACTGAGATTTTTTCCATTGTGAAGATTATTAGAATCTGCTCTTGTCTTACAGTCAATTATTGGTTTGTTGTAACTCTCTTTCCAGTTAAATATTGGTTTTATAGCTTTCTTCCTTTTTGTTTTCTGAAATGCATATGAAAAACCCTTTTTCTTTAGGGTTTTGTTTGCCTCTTGCCAAATAAAATGTGTTTTTGCCTTTGTCTTTATAACTTTGTCCCTAAGTACTTGTGTATTTCCTTTTTACTCCATCATGTTTCTCTTTGTATA